GTAGCCAGGACCCTACTGAGCTCCTCATGGAGACCCCCATTCCTAGCTCAAGAAGTGCTCGAAACTTTAAAGTTTGAGGAAACTGAATTTGAATTCCCCCTTTCCAAAACGTACTAAATGTGTAACCTTGGTATGTTCCTTTAACTTCTCTGAGCCCTGATTTCTTAATCAGCATAAAGGGAAGAAGATACTATTATCTACCCCATAGGATTGTAAGGTTAGAAAGATCCAGTAATGTGGTAGGGAGAAATCTAAGATAGTACCCTAGATTCCTGCCCCCTGGTGTACAAACCCGCATAATACCCTCCCCTTGAGCATGGGTGGGACTTGGGAATATGATGAAACACTCACTCCTGTGACTATTGTTATTTTATATACGGCTGTCATAGCAGACTGGGAAGAAACTCTCCTGCTGGCTTTGAAAAAGAAAGCTATCATGTTGTGCGAGGTCCACATGGCTCGGATCTGAGGGTGGCCTCTGGGAGCTAAGAGACACCCCAATCCAACAGTCAGCGAGAAAACAGGATTTTAATCTTACAGCTACAAGAAACTGAATCCTGTCAAAAACCTAAATGAGGTTGGCTTGGACCCCAAGCCTCAGATGAGATCATAGTCCCTGCAGGTACCTTGATTTCATCCTGGGGAACCCTGAGCAGGAAAGCCAGTGATGCTGTGCCTGGGCTTCTGACCCACAGAAACCGTGAGATAATAAAAGGTTGTTGTTTTAGGTTGCTAGGTTTGTGGTAATTTGTTACACAGGAATTGAAAACTAATAGTCTTAGTTTGAACCAAATAGCTATTTGAGTAGGTCAAAAACTGTTGAGTATAGGCACTTGCACATGGCTCAGCCTAATGCGGATGTGAAATGCCTAGCACTGTAGTGAGCACTTAATAAATCCCACTGTTATTATTCCCCTGGCTCCACTAAAGAATGCCTTGGCACATTCAGTGGCTGACCGGACCTCTTTTTTCTAGCACTGACTTTGACAGCTGCCTCGGTGCCCCCAGGCCCTCCTTCCCAAAGCTCCCTCGTCAGAAGAAAGCCTTCAGAGCGCATTCACACCCCTTGGGAGAGGCTCGGGCACACAGCTCCTGAGCTAGACCGCCTCTCCTGCCCCAGGGCAGCAAAACACTGACTGAACTGACAGCAGAAAACAACATCTCTGGGGCAGAGGCAACAACTGCCCATGAGCCCCCTGCCAGCTGGTGGGGTGAGGGCAGCCGCTTGAGAGATTCCAGCAGCGCTAAAAGCAAGTCTGCCTCTGGACTCCACCTTCCCCCCTTGCCTTCTCTAAAGGTCTCGGAAGCCCCGCCATGTGGAAGTGTGCTTCTTCCAGCAGGACCCTGCGGAAGTGCAAACGTTTCCTGTTACAGAAAAAATTATAACCAGCAAGTTGGTCCCGATCCCTGCATCAGATGATGCATAAAACCTAGAAAAAGAGTGCAACTCTTGGGGAATGGGACACTGTACAGGTGGGTTTGGACTGAGCCTACAGGGAGGCTAACAAAGTCAGGAAAGGTCTGGAACAGACACCAGAGGAAAGAGAAGCTTGTGGCTCACACTTCCTACAATGGTGTCTGTTTCCACAAACCATTGACCCTACTCACTCGAAACCTCTAAATGCACCAGATTCCCAGGCCTTGGGACTCAGCTAGAGAGACAGATTTTTATTTACTTTCAGGTACCAAATAATGAGCAACATAAATTACTATTCATGGATTAATCCTCCTGACTATGATAAGGATTATTATACTTCCTTTATAGATGAGGAAACTGAGGCTAAGTAGTTTACCCAGCGTCACAGGGACGGAGCTGGGATTTGAACCCAGGTACACAGATCCCACATCCCATGTTCTTAACTACTGGGCCAAACAACCAGGTACTTTCTGATCTTTGGTCCTAAATTCACCAAAGTCAGTGAAAAACAATGATTTGGGAGCGGACTATAGATTAGCCCAGAAGGTACCCTGCCTACAGCAGGCGCCCAAACATGTCCATCCCACAGCGTCATGGGCCCTCAGCGGCGGCAGCCTGGCCAGGCCTCGGCTGTGACCCTGTGTTGAGGCTCCGACGTGCCCCCGCACCCGGCAGCTGTGCTTGGCTAAGGGTGCCCTCGAATGGGCATGGCAGGGGTTTGGGTCCCCCCCAAGCAAGAGCAGAGAGCGCCCAGGGCCGCAGGAGGTGGCAGGAACTTTCCTAAGGAGCGGAGAGGGAAGGGAACTGGCCCCCAGGATGCTGATTTCCGGTTCCCTGAAAAATGGCCCCCCTCGACTCCACCTGCTCATTCTGAAGCCCCCTGGAGTTCTCTCTCCACTAACCCCTCTGCCAGTCCTGCTACTACTATTCCCTGCCCACCAGCAGGTGTCACCTAGATGCTTGGAGCAGGGGCACCCCATAGCCTCCTTCCGGGGCCCAGTCAGTGCTGACCATGGGATGCAGGGAGGAGGACTTGACTCTCATTAACTGGTGACTATGGAGTGTGGAATATCCTGGAGAAAACCATTCTGCGCGGCTCTCCGTCTTCCCCATCCTTGTCCTCCTCTCCTGCTTTTCTGCTTGCCCTCCTTTCTCCCTCTCCCCTGTCTTCTAGAACCTGGAGAGTTGGACTTGGTTGAGGCAAAGAGATGGATTTACAATTTCAAGCCCACCTAGATTGTTTTCCGGCCTCCCCTTTGTTCCAGGGGACCCCCCCACCCCCCGCCTCACTCTTTCCTACCAAAACCCATTTTCCACCCTCTGGCTTTCAGGGAGCAGGAACAGGGCCTGGGGCAGCCCTCCTCAGGCTGATGGATCATGTGTCCTGAGAGGGAATAGACACCAGGGTTGATTCCAAAATCACATTCCCCAGGATCTCAAATGCATCTGGAGGTACTTCTTAGGCAAAAGGTCTGACACGTCTTCTTCCAGGGAGCAAACAGGAGAGGCCCAGCATTACTGCCTTACATTGACCGGTGATCGTTTTACCTACTTCCTGAGCACCGAGTGCCAGGCAAGTGCATTATAGTGTGTTGGTTACTTCATGATCCTCTATTCCTGTAAGTTAATTCCTCCGACAGTATTTGTCAAGTGTCTGCTACAATGTGCCAGCCACTCTTCGAAGCATGTGAGTTACCTGGCAAATGAGGTTTCTCATTGTTTGCAAATGGGGGAAAGCTAGGCTAAAAGTCAGCCCCAAATGGTGGAGCAGATTCCATTTCAAGGTGTCTGACTCCAAAGCCACAATGCCATGAGCCTTCTGCCTCTTCTCCTCACCACTGGAGTAAAGAGTTCCTGGGTATGAGTCAGGGTGGGGATATCTACCCTCAAATGCTCAGAGAGTTGTTTTGGGGGAGGAGGGATGAAGTCTACATACCTGAGATGTCTTCTGAGGCTAAGTGCTCAGTGCGTGAGTGGGCCCATGGCCCAGGCTGAGTTCTCGGGACCCAGAGGACACAGAAGACAGTGATGCGGGCTGGGTGTCCGGTGGGTGAGAAGGATGGCTGGAAGTGGGGGCACGAGGCCAAGCCTGGATGTGGGGCATGAACTGGCAGCGGTGAAGGAGGAGTGAACTCCGGATGAGGAATGGGGTGTTCATGGGCCTGGAGGTGGGAGGATCCTGAGACAGCTCTGACACAGGCATGGCTGAAGGCTGGGGTTGGGGGGAGGCAGGGAGAGTCAGGTACAGGGAAGTGTGACCTGCTGGAGAAGGGAGGGAGGGCTGTGGCAGCTGTTGATGGCTGAGGTGGTGAGACTGGAGCTAATGGGCCATCAAGATTCTCCCAGCAGAGCAATGGCAAGAGGCAAATTGCGCTGGGAGATGATTCTGACAGCACTGTGTGCAGGACCGTAGGAGAGACATGGGAGTTATCATGGGAGCCTGGCACAGGCGGGCAGCTATGTTTCACATCAACCCTCACTCTCACTCACCCTCAACCCCCGCCCCCGCCGTCCCTCCCTCTCTCACCCCCCAACCCAGGTCCTCTGGCACTATCCGAGCCTCCCCACCGCCTGGAATACAGGGGTGGAGGGCCACGCGGACGGCTGAAGGGCCTGACCAAAGGGGGCCTGGGGGAGGATGGGGTGAGTGAATTGGAACAAGGGCACAGCCAGGACTCGAGTCATTTGCGGCAGGGGGGATGGCATCTCAGGGGACCTCAAGGTGGGCTATGCCTAGCCCCTCACAGGCCGAGCAAGACAGTAACCCTAAGCCAGCCACAGGGTGACCACTAGGAAAAAGTCCCCCCATCTTCACCCGCACCCCTTATTGCTTGGGGCAGCCTTCCCCTCAGATAGGAGAACCTGGCAGATGTCCAGCTCTGAGGTGAAGTGACCCCAAAGCCTGTGTGACATGGCTGAGGAGTTTGGGGTAGGAGCTCACAAAAACAGCCTCCCCCTCCCCTGCTGGACTCTAAAATGACACACTCAGTGATCTAGTCCTTTGGCTTAAGATTTTGTACCCAAGTTATTGTTTTTTTAACAGTACCTCTAAAATTGTTATCAGTTACCCACACCTCTAAGAATGAGTCAATCCGATCCTTTTCCAGGAGTCAGTTTTGGTTTTGGAGGTGAGAAAGGCTTTTAGAACCCTGGGGTCTGGGACAGTGAGTGCCTGGGGAGGAGAGGACAAGGCTGTTGTTGGGAGAAGAGAGGAAAGGAGGGCAGGAAGGCAGGGGCTGGGAGGGATGGGGCCGATCACTTCTCGATTTGGGGAGGACTTGATCAGAAATAACCTGTACAAAGACCCGGGCATCGCCTTTCCCTCCCTCCCTCTCCAGCCTCGGGAGCCTGGACCCCCATTCCTGTGTCTTCAGATCTCCTCGCAGCGACAGCCCTGAGTGCAAACTTTCGGGTGTACGACCCCAAGCCTGGCTTCCATTCCGTTGTCGCTACCCACGGCTGGGCAGGGGCTCTTGCCAGACAGGCGGGGGTTTAGCGGGGGTGCTTCCTGTAGGCGAGGACACGGCCCCGGGGCTTCGGGTCCATGGGCGGGACAGGGGGACCCGGCCAGCGGGCGGCTCACCTGCAGGACACGGTGATCTCCACCTTGGTGGCCGGGATGCTGCCCGCCAACGAGTCGAACTCGCTCAACGACGTCATGTCCTCGGGCTGCTCCATCGCCCACCGCGACCCTCACCCCAAATTAGTCAACCCTTGAGCGATTCACGCCTTCTTCGGAGCAACTGAAACCCTGGGCTCTCCCCCAACTCCGGAGCTGATGCTGGGCAGCAAAGGGAGGCGAGAGGAGCTCGAAGAGGGGGCGTGGGAAGTGAGAGAGGGAAGGGGGGCGGAAGGAGCGGGGGCCGCGGATCCAGGAGGGGGTGCGGGGCCCGCGACGAGGAGGCTGGGGGCCCAGTGGAGAGGGGCGAGGAGCCCAGGGAGCTGCGGCGCAGCGGGGCGAGGCGGAGGGGCGCGGGGCGAGGGCGCCGGGAGGGACGCGCAGAGCCGTGGAGAGGGGCGTGCAGCTTCGGGCGGGGGCAGAAGGGGTGCAGGAGAGAAAGGGGGCGTGGGGGGTTGGTGGGGCGCGGGCGGCGGCGCTGGCGGGACGCGGGCAGCGCGGAGCCCACAGCGCCGGGGCTGACCGCCTCTTCCTGGGTCTCGGCGCGGGCAACGGCGGGGCTGGGGACGCGGCTGCGAGCGCCACCTCCTCTGCTCGGGCTGCGGCTCCGGGTCACCCGAGCTGCGGGAAAATCAAATCTACCCTAAACCGCCGCCTCCCGCCACCCGGGCCGAGCTGCTAACTGGGCGGTGAGCGCCGGAGGGGGCTCCCGCAGGGGCCGGGGCGGGGCCGCGGGCGGGGTCTGCGCGCCGGGTGAGTGTGTGTGTCAGCGTGTCTGTGTGTGCGCGCGCGTGGCAGGCGTGGGGACGCGGCTCCAGAGGCTGGGAGCCTGGGCGTTGTGGGGGGACAGCCTGAGATGGTCCTGGCCGTGCGCGTCTCCATCTGCGCGGATCCCCCACTCCCCCACCTCCTCATGGGGGCTCGACCTGAGTGGGGGTAGGGAGAGGGATGTGTGAACCGAGGGGCACCTGTTTGAGGCGGTTCTAAGCTGGGGGGGTGGGGGGCGCGACCGGTAGAGGGGGGACATGTACAAAAGAGACCCCATACACATACCCAAAGTGTGGGGAGTTCTCTGCCGAGTGTGCCCCCACGTGAGGGGTGTGGGGGCGACCCCAGAGCCCTGAGGAGCCGCCTCGGTTTTCTAGTGAGGGCCTAGAAGGGGTCGGTGCCTGGGCTCGTCCCCATCGCCTCTGGCTCCTGCCGGGCCTGGCCACGCCGATCAGCCACCTAAGCCACGCGCCAGCGCCCTCCCCATCCCTGGCCCTTCGTGACCACACGCCTGATCCAGCCCCGCGTCTAGAAGCTTCCTCCACCAGACTGAGAGGGCGGCCTGAGCTCCACCGGCTTCTAAGCCACAAGCACGGAGTAGGTGCCTGCTACGCATGGGGCTCTGATCCCTGCCCTGGGAGCGAGGGGGACATTGAGGCACCTCTCAGGCGTCTCCCCTCCCCAGCCGAGCCCCACCCTGCTCCAGCTCGCCCTTACGGGCCTGGGGCCGCTGCGCTGTGGCCAATTCTCTGGGCTGAGCTGGCGAACTCGTCTCCGGAAAATCCCCTGCAGCCCCTGCTCAGCCTGGGCCTAAGCTTTGCGGAGACTGAGCCCTCTCCGCCGCCCACCTGCCGTGCCCCTAGGCCGCGAGTGGGGCGGGGCCGGGGAGTCCTGGAGCCCGAGGCTGGACCTGGAAAAGCCACGCGCCCTGGGTCTTTGCTCTCGCAAAGACCCTCAGCTGGTTCGTGGAGTCAGTTTCCCGGACCATCGGATACAGCCACAGTCAAAGATAAAGATAAGAACACATTCCTAAGCCTGGGTTAAGTGTTTTCCTTTTACCCATGGCATGGTACTGGCTGGACTCAGTTCCGCCACCTGAGACGGACCCCACGGCGCAGAGGCGCTGGCATTCTCGGGGCAGTGACGGCACAGCTGGGAGGGAAGGCCCCACTGCGGTCTCGGCCCGAGGCCCGCCCTACTAGAATAATTTGGGCCTCCTTCCCTGAGGGATACAAAACTAGACTTGGATTCTCTCTGTTTTTCACACCCCTACCTCCACAGACCTGTCCTAGACACTGCTCCAAACCCACTTGTGGACTATATTACTCATTCCTTCCACTAGTATTTATTGAGTGTCTGCTGTGTTCTTGGCCTGTGATAGGGCCACTTGGGAAACTTCCTTGAGAACAATGATAACCACCATTATATTTTCAAAGAGCCTACACTGGGCCAGACATGCACAGATTTAAGTTCTCGAAGTAATTATAGGTGGGAGGTATTATTATCTACATTTAATAAATAAGGAAGCTAGTGCCCAGAGAAGCTAAGTAGCTTGCCAGTGATCACCCAGATGGGAACTTGGCAGTGTGAGAATTTTAACCCAGGCCATTTGAAAACAAAGCCTGACTCTGAACAAGAGACTTGAATGCCTCTTTGGATGGGGCCAGATAATTGAGCAACTTAAAAGCCGTTTATGACATCAGGCCCTGCTGGGGATGGCTATAATAGGGAGCCATTGCAGGTTGTTCAGGTAAGTGGTGGACTCTTTCTAGAAAGATTCTCAACTTGTCTCTCCCTCCAGCTCCCTTGGTCATTGCACTTGCCCTGCTGGTTCTTCAGCAAGAAATTGTATTAGGTACCTGCTCTGTGCCAGGCACTGTCCTAAGCTCAGAGAATAAAGACCCAAAAAGAGCAGTATTTGTCCCCAAAGAGTTCCCAGACTCCTCGGTGCCCTAGGACATGCAGAATGGGCCAGCCCCAATGCAACATGAGGAGTGCCTTTGAGATGTTAAGGGCCCTTGGAATAGATAAGCACGACCTGTAATGACTCTGTCCCAGGAGTGGGAACAAGGGATAGTCAAGGGAAACTAGAAACATGAGGTTACGTTGAAAAGGACAATGAAGATGATGTCTGTTTGGTTTTCCTAACAAGCAGACCCTGAGAGAAAGATTTGAATGGAAATAATGCATTTCAGAGATTAAGAACACACTATGTGAGGAGTGTGGTGGTGAGACAGGGAAGGCATCCAGCAGCTGGTTTGCCAAGCCAGTTATCGCTGTGGACAACCAGGGCTCTTCCCCACGGAGGATGGGACCTTGTTCAAACTTAGCCTGCCAGAATGGTGAGGGAGCAGGGTGCGTAGACACCAACTGAAGTCAGTCACTGGTTCAGTGGCTGAGGGCCGCCTCTGGAGGGCATCCATTCCCTGGGACCTCTGGCCTGACCAGCACAGAGTGGCAATGCAGGTTCCTGGAACCAGAGAAAACTTCAGGCACACATGCAAGCACTGGCAGTTGGCGATGGGCTGCAGCACTGAGAAGAGGGAACGGTTAGAGCATCGACAGGACAGTGGCTGCTGCAGATGACGGACTTCTGCCTGGAGGACAAGGCTGACAGGCGCTTCTGGCACAGGCCCAGCATGATAAGGGTCAGGGGGCTGTGTTTTGGGACTCTGGTCTGGCTGAAGCCACGGTGAGGTCACAGAGAGAGAATATGAGGCCAAGAGGTGAGGGACCATAGGCCTTGACCTCTTCTAGGCACAGAAGCTTTTCAGAAGGGGACACAAGGCAGGCTGATCTGAGGGATACTCCTCACCTATGTGGTCAACCAGTGAGCCCCAGAACACAAAACTTGCTGATCAGGCCCGGGGCAAAATGTTCACAGTCCCTGCTCAAATAAATTGCTCATGGTTCAAAAGCAGCCCAGGGGTGCTCCCACTGGATGGGTCATTTCTCCTTTGAGGGATGTAACTGAGGTCCCCAGAGATGTCCAGAGAAGTCAGCAGGTGCTGCAGCCAGATTAGAACTAGCCATGGCCCTGGCCCACGCCGCCATGTAACCAATATTCAGCCCTTGATTAAGAACTGTGAACACGGAATGGGCCATGCCCAGAAGATCTGGAATAATCAGCATCAGCATTTTGCCTTTGCCATCTAAGACTGCAAACATGCTCTCGTCTGACCTTAACCGTGGTGTTAATGACGGCCGAGCAATTTTGAGAAGCAACTCTCAGCATTGATAAGGAGAGGAAAAGCACCACAGGGCTTCGGAGGCAGAGCTCCTCACAGAGGCAGCTGTGCCCTCCCTGCCAAGGCTCCATGTAAACACTGAATTTAGAGCCTCCTGTTTAAAGCCGGGGGTGGGGGGGGGGGGAATGGTAGGTGAAAAGGGACAGAGAAGATGAGAAGAGGAAACGTGCATGGGAGAGGGAAGTGGGGGCTGCCCCTACTGCACCTTAGAACAAACTAGGAGAAAAGGTCTTCTTTACTCTGGGTAAATGCAACCGTAAGCCAGCCAGGGCACAAGACTTACGGAGCAGAGTGTGGGTTAGTACTGAGCCTCCACTTACTCCTTTGGCAGGGTGTCCTCGTGCAGTGAATACCCTGCCCCACCATACATGGCAGCCCTGGAGAGAGAAGGAAATATAGAGGGCATGACAGGAACCTGAAACCACCATGATAGTAAGGAAGTGAGTGGGATGTGGTGTCTGATTCCATCCATTAATAGAAATGCTAGAAGGGGCTTGGTTGGAGACCATCTAAGTTAAATTAAACCCACCCTTTTACTAAAACGCTTAGAGGGCGGAGAGTGATACACTCAACGATCACCCGTCTCTTCGCTTGATAAGAAACTCCACTAATAACAGCAAGGTCAGGTACCCAAGAGCAGTGACCACCTAACTAAGAAGGGATGGGGAGAAGCCACATTCTGTTGGGTAGAAGAAGAGGCAACAGCCCACCATGTCTCCAAGCCTCCAGCCCCCATTCCTCCTGGAGGATGGCAGCCTTGCTGCCAGATGCCCCACCATCCCAACCAAAAGCCCACACTGGCCCTTCCTTCTCCCAGGTCATAGTGCCAGCTAGCTCTGTCCATGTTCCATCTGGACAAAGGGAAGCCCGGGGGCCCTCCTGCCGGCCCTGCAGCCTTTCCTTCCACTAGAATCCACACTGTCCTGCCCCACCCTGGCATCCGTCTGCAGCCCAGTGGGCACTGACTTCCTCTTGCACTTCTCATGCCCTCCTTTTCCTTCCAGACGCTCATGCTTTTCCAAGAGAGAGAGGCCTGTTTGCCC